TCTGTTGCCTCCGACTATGAGAAAGCCCTAACTTGCAACATTCAACCCTCAAGTAAGTTTCTGCCTCCCTCACAGCAAATTTATAGGTGAACTTACATATTCGGTTTCACAACTTACTTGATTCGTCTTCCTTCTGTTCGCTTTCCTACTTCTCGCTTTCACTCCCCCATATTCGACTCCTTCGCTTCCCGACTCCTTGCTTCAACTCCCCCATGTTCGACTCTTCACTTCCTCTTCAGACACGTTTCTTTTTCCCCGAGTAATTGATTCGTGGCCTCACAATATTCCCTTCAAAAAAAATAAATCATCCTTGAATTTTAAAACATACTACAAGTCACATCCTATTAAGTACGTCAAATTTAGTCATTCATAAATTTCATGATAAAAACTAGGGGTCATAAATTAAGATAAAACATAATCACTATAAGAGTAAAGACTCGATGCAAGGTGACTCGGCTATACTTTGGATAATAGCACTGGAAAAAAGTATGCCATGAAAAAAATAACCAATATATATAAGAAAACGTCAAACAAATCAAATCTCATCATCATCCACAAGAATGAGTTTTTCAGGCTTACTCGAGGTCGAACAACTTGTCTTGGTTGACCTTGGGGTAGGAGCTGAAACTGCAGACTATCTTTTTCTATCCACCTGTAATCTTATGTGAAAGAGCTCCACATGATTTCTGATTTTCAGCACTCTTCTGGCCAAGAGATGGACAATGTCACAAATAACAAGTGCTAGAGCCCATTAAGCATGCACCATTATGTTGTCTTCCACATTTGGAACAAGTGACTACTATATCATGAGTCATACCTTGCTAACTCTACTTGAATTGTTCTTGGAGTTCTTCCCATTGGATCCCTCTAATTGATCCACATGTTCTACAGTTTTACTCTTGTTCATCTCTTTACGCTTCTAAATAAGTTGATAGTCGATCTCCACTCTTCTAGCACGTTCCACTAATATTAAATATTCATCGATCTCTATTGGTGCCAACGACTGTCTGATCTAATTCTTTAATCCCGAAAGGTATCTGTAGGATTTTTATTTTGTAGTAGTGATCAACTATGGCAATCTGTAGCATTTTTATTCCAAGCAAGTTGATAGTCGATCTCCACTCTTCTAGCTCGTTCCACTAATATTGAATATTCATCGATCTCTATTGGTGCCAACGACTGTCTGATCTAATTATTTAATCCCGAGAGGAATCTGTAGCATTTTTATTCTGTAGTAGCGATCAACTGTGGCGCATACCTCAGCAATGCATTGAATTTTGCTTCATACTACATGACTGTCTTCTCTCCTTGCCTCAAATTGATGAACCTGTCTTGCACCTATCTTTGAGTGTATAGGGTGCAAACTATTCTTAAATAGTTTGACGGATTCCTCCCAACTATCATATTAGGTATGTCCCTAGCTTGTTCTGACACTGCCCGCGGCGCCATCTTTCGGCTTTTCCATCCAGCAAAAACGTTGCTAACGGTACTCTTTTTTCATCCAAACAAGTCAGGTTATCTACTATTTTTTCTATCCTCATTAGTCAGTTGTCTACTTCAATCAGGTATTCAGTTTCCTTGAAAAAAAGGTGGACACAGATCAAATATCTTCAAGTAAATATCCATTCCGATTGTATCGCCTCTGATAGGTCGCGATCTGAACTCCTGAATCAGTTCAGTCATCATCATCATCATTTAGGTGAGGACATCCGTGTTCAAATTTATAGTAGGTTGTATTTCTTCATTTTTTATCAGATTCTCTTATTCTAGGATTTCACGTGTATCACTATGCTTGAATGAATAATAATTATTACTTTGAATTAACTTTAACTTTTAAAATTATTAAAGTTTGCTTATAATTATTCTGTTGGTTCTTTCATTAAAATTTTATTAATAAATCCTAAAAATTCGCTCTAACACCAGCTTCATCACGACGGGAATATATTCGTCTGCAATTTAACATATGAAAGAACCACTAATTAAATTAAATTTAATTAAAACGGTAAAATTACATTTACTTCGTTATGGTTGTACGCATCTTCTATAAATGTTTTCTCGTCATCATTCATCTTTTAATCATTTAACGAACCTGAAAAATTAATTTAAAATAACAATTAGCTAAATAAGCAAGTAAATATCCGTACTCATAAATCACAATAATACAAAAGAAAAAGTAAGCAATATACATGCTAATTAAATTTTTAATAAATCAATAAAAACATTTGATGTCGTTAAAAAAACTTCATTAATTTTAATAACATATCAATATCATTTATATATTTGTGCAATCATCACAAAAGTGCCTTCTAAAAATTATATCAATTAAAACACATCAATATCAATATCATTTCTTATATACATACATGAGTACCTTATTATTCCTTCACTAGTACCATTAAGAGATGACTCCATCATAAGCAAACATGCACATACAAGTATGCTATAAAAATCTTACTATTTTAAAAATAAATATTTTATTCTCAATTGCATAGCAGTCAATATTTTTGTACGTGATTCGCTAATAATTTATTCAAAGCAGAGCACACAAGTCATCCGTACAATATGAACAAAATTCATTAGAATCATAAATTATGGGCATGCAATATGAACTAATTTATTATTTTAATAAACTACTAACTTTTCATTGTTTAACTATCAAATTCATTGGTATAAAAGAGATGATACAAATGTTTTAGTGAGTGGGTACAAAGAGCCCACTCACAGGGATTACAACTACACATATTCCCAAAAATATAACAAAAAGAAAACAACTCTTAATCATGGTGGGTGTAATCGGTGGATATACCGTTTTTCCTTCCCCTGGATCTAGGGCGAGAGTCCAGCAACATACTGAGAAGTGGGTTTCCGCTCGAAACTATAATACAGTCATTCTGAGAATTACTTAGATCTAGCATTTCTTTTTCTTCTTCCTAGATTTGTAAACTTGTCACTCATCTGCCAGAGGTAGTCTCGTTTGAACAATAGGTGGATCTTCGATTGAAGTAAACTGCTGATCTGACTCAGCCTACAGCACACCTTGATCCTGACACTCTTCGAGAACTTGAGTATCCTCTTCTCTCGCAATAGGTGGTTTCAAGCCACTCAGGCTAGCATCTACTACAACAAAATTCGTAGCATTTGTAATCTAAGGAAAGCTGCCTCAACAACAGTATGCGGAAGCTGCAGGACTGGTTGGTGAGTAGTCTCATGAGTCAAATTCTCATTCAACATTTCTGGAAGATTAACGTCTGTTATATTTTCCTGCACATGGATGATGTTGTTAGGACATGCCGATCTCAAATGTACTTTTGAAGAGGGTGTGCGTTATTATTATTATTATTTTATTATTATTATTATTATTATTATTATTATTATTATTATTATTAAATCAATAAACATTACCATCTTCGGCCAAACCCTAATCCACATGATAAAAGCTCCGCATCCGATTGTCTCCTTCTTGGCTCAGCTTCGGCTCCCTCCCGCAAGAAAGCATGATCACAACCTGTCCTCCTCTATGATGCTCATTCCTTTCCTCTTCTTCTTCTTCGGTGGTAGGTGAGGGCACTGACTTTCCTCCATCGCTCGACAAAAAACGTCGTCGTCCATTGCCTTCAACTACGAGGAAGCCTTAACTTGTGTCGTTCAACTCTAGTAAGTTTATGTCTCCCTCACGACAAATTTATAGCCGAACTTACCTGTTCAATTTCCAAATTTTCTTGATTTCTCTCATTTATGTTCGCTTTCTGGGTTATGCTTCGGCTCCCCCATGTTCGACTCCTTGCTTCAACTCCCCCTTGGCCTCCCGACTCCTTGCTTCAACTCCCCCTGCTTCAACTCCCCCCTTGCTTCAACTCCCCCATGTTCGACTCTTCACTTCCTCTTCCAACTCGTCGGTTCTTCTTTTCCGAGTGACTGAAACGTGGCCTCACAAAACTATTTCAATTGCAAAAACATAGGAAGAAAAGACATCCACAATTCTCTTTAAGAATATCAATAATATCTAAAAATAATCTATGAAAATCTTAAGGTTAACACGCAAAAGGATACGCTAATATGAACAGAGTAATAAATGTGAAATAAAAAATAAAAATATTTTTTTTATTTGAGGGCATGGTTGGATTGTGTTGATGGGATCAGGTTAGGATATGGGAGCCAAAATAAATTTGATTATATAGAAGATGACGATGGTTAAGATTAGGGCTTGAGTTGAATGGAACTTTTATTGGGGATTAGACAGAAACTAGCAAGAAACTGATTAGATTGTTGTGGAAAAAAAATTAAGGTAGAATAAAATCAGTACAAGTTTAAATAAATTAAGGTGTTCTAAAATAAGGGAATAATTGGAGAAATTATAGGAGAGGATAAATGCTTTTAAATTCCAATTCAAATTCAAATACGAATTTTCAAATAAAATAAGAACTAATTTGAATATGAAATTATAGCTAAGAATATCGGATGGATTGAGTTGACAATTTTGAGAAGGTAGTTGAAGAAATTTCAACCTAACTTCATTTTTTTAAGTAAAAGAAACTAATGTAAAACATAGCACAAAAAATACGAAAAAGTTAATCAATTGTAGTTTCATTGACAATCCATGGTTCATCCAAAATTCACCATATCATAATAAACCCAATGGTTTTCCCTATTAGTTAATTAAAAGGCTAAGCAAAGAAAATAAATAAGCACAGTGCTGCAGTTGAAAAAAAAAGCAGCATTCCAATATATGGAGATTAAAAAGACCAAATCAAAGCACAACAAAATTGCTACCTGAAGCCCATTAATAGATCTCCAACAATACGTGTTCCAGAAACAGCTTAGAGTTAAAGAAGATACCTATCTATCTGAGAGAGCTAAATCAGAGTCTATTTCATGTGAGGCCCCTCTAAGAGGGCCAGAATACACTATCTATTTATGTGAGGCGCCTATAAGACAAGAAAACTAAAATTGGTGCATTCTCAACAGACCTTTAACAGTTCAGAGTCTTCTCAAGAAAGTACCTTAGAAATGCATCCATTGGTTCAACAAGAGGCTCCCAAGCATCATATTTATCATTGTAAGACCTACCGGCCAATGAAAAACTCACAGTGGAACTCATATAATCAGGCCTTCCGTGCAAATTAAACCCAATGCCACTTAGTGAAACATTGAATAGAGGAACCATCTGTCAAGATTATTAAAAAATTACCAAACAATAAAACATGAAAAGAAAAAAGAGTATATAGGGTGGTAATAAGTAGAAACTAGAACATATATGAAGTACCAAAATTGGAATGATTGTTTGCAATTTTCCAATTCGGAGTAGGCGTCAACGCTTTATGAAAAAGGATTCATGTATGCGTCAACGCTTAAAAATGATCTTAATTTACTAGAACTAAATGAAAATATGGCACTAAATAGGACGCAATGGAGAAAAAGGATTCATTCATGGATTCATGTAGCCGACCCCACGTAGTGGGATTAAGGTTTTGTTGTTGTTGTTGTTGGAGTAGGCGTCAACGCCTTAGGGTGTAATGCATGCAAAATACATTGAAGCTAATGCATCACAAAAAGAGAACTGAACATTCAAGGACGATGAATGTACGCCTACTTCAAAGTCTGTGTAAAAGTTCTAGAAGATAATGTGGATCCCTTGGCAATCAATGATTTGAAATCAAATGATGAATGACTTGTTAATGAATAAAATCGAGTTCTATTGTCACAAATATATAAATAGGATTGCAATGTTGACTCAATCAATGGAGGAAAGATTAAGAACAACAAAGGTCAACAAAAAATAAATTCAAAATGTTAACATTAATTTTAGTTATAATATTCTCTTTAAATAATTCTCTATTAGATTTTATTGACTAAGATAAAAATGATTGAGACTAAAGATAACAAAAATTGGAAACATGCTAATACAAGTGTGAAGACCGGTAAGAAAATAATCAACTACGATGACGAGCCAAAGAGAATTTTTGAAATCAGATTCCCAATCATAACTAGCTCACTTTAGGATAGGTTTAATGGTTTACATTAAACTTCCATTCTATGTTTACTTGTTTATCTTAAACTTTTTGTTGACAATTGACTGCTTGAATGATTTTCAATGATATTACTTTTAATACCTTTGAATTACTCTTAAAAGCTTTTAAAGGAGAAAAATGAAATCAAATTTCTTTGCTTTTCTATTTTCAATTTATTTAACGATTTCCATAAATAAAATTTCTTCATTACCTAATTATGCAATTTTAAACCTTAATGACTAACACTGGTTGAAAGTTTAAATAATTAAGTACAAGCAGAATTAAAAATAGCTGACTAAAGAGTCTCACCAGCCCTCCATAGTCATCGAAAACAGCCACAGAAAAAGTCTTAATTTCTGCATCAATCACAGTATCATCTGACCCACTGGATACATTTGGAATAGCCAGCTTCAAAGCAAACCTTTTTGGAGGCTTCTTAAATCCCTTTCGGACAATAAATGTGCCTGCCTCATAACCAACACCCCATAAGCTGAACGGTTCATTTGAAGCCGACATATCAGATGTATCCCATATATTATCTTCAGAAAACTGATCGCCCATGAGCATATCACTACGTATGCACCTTAAAGGGTTGAAGTCGTCACTCTTGGGTAGACCTTTAGATGCGATACATCCCAAGGAAATAAATCCAGGGGGCGCTACAGGCAGCCAGAAATATATACCATCATTTCCTTTATGCTTTCTGATGTGTCCAACAGGTTCAAAATCTTGAGGACGTTTAAGGAAACCTTCATCATCTGTGTCATAAAAGACAATAGCTGAGTTGGGAGGTTCATACCTGCAATCCAATTAAATGCAAAAAAATCAAGTGAATTTAGTAAATAAATACATCACCAAAGTCAATGTTAAATCAAGATGGTGCATACCCTTGAACGGCAAGATCTCCAAGAAAAACCATCCCATCAGTAACCACAGGACGCCATATAGACAATTTCTTGTGAGGACTTGTGCCTTGATTCCACCATATTAATTTGAAACGTGCTACAACTTCAAAAAGCCGCCCCGAGGCCAACACTGGCCTTTCAGGTAAAGGGGCAGTACTAGAGGTTTGCTCATTATTTTGAGTGGGTGAACTTTTTAAAGTCTTGCTAGGCTTCTCTGACTGCCAAAAGATCATATGATGCAGATCATAAGCCCTTCCATCAACGCTCATGTCAGCAGGGTTTGCGGGCAAAAAGGACCCAAATGAGTTCTCCACTCGCCAGAATGCCCTCTTAACAGAATATCTGAGAAAAATGAAAAAGAACAACATAAATATTATTGTGGTTGCACAAACACAAAAAGAAGGTTGGCTAGATAAGAAGATAGGTTGCATACATATCGACCATTTGAAATGCAATGCAATCTTTCATCGCACATGGAGATACCAAGGAAGATAAGATGCACAAAGCAGAAGATACTGATGGTTGTACACTTCCAAGGGAAATCACACAACCAAGTGCCACATATCCTTTAGGTGCAACTGGGAACCAAATGGAGCATCTGTCATTTGAAAAGCTATCATTCTTGTTTGGAACACGAATAGTTAATCCATTGCTGCTGCTAGCAGTATTCTCCAGACTGAAAGAACAAACCAACTTGTATGACATGGGCCTCCTAACTTTCACCAAGCTTGTGTTTACAGCAAGAACCCCTTTAGAAGGTGGCTCGTTCCTATCAATTAAAAGAATGTTCAGAAATAAACAACTTGAAAAGTAAAATATCAAATTCAATATTGGGACAGTAAGATTCTGATCAGAAATTACATACAATGGAGTCAAACAATCCCCAAGTACAGCATATCCAGATGGTGCACGTGGTCTCCAAAAGGCATATACTTCGTCACCCTCTTTGCCTGATGGAAAAAACAGTGACGGCCGCTCATAAATAATTACTTGAAAAATTTTTAATATTTATAAGGAAATAAGCACGCACACACCGATACACAAATATATATATAGGAATGTGCCATGCCATCAGTGATGACTGTCTCGTAATGGAGAGTAAATCTTGCATACCCTGGATTGTTCCGACTTTGTCAAACTGAGAACACACTACAGACACCTTCCTTGAAGTCATTCTAAGAAATGACAAAATATCTTCCTCAACAGCTAGAAATAGCCTTAGGATGCTAAATGAAAAATTCATAAATATTTCTGAAACAGCGAGGTGAATATTTGTCTTTCCAGAGGTATTTGAGAAGTTCACAGATGTGTCAAAAGGCTCCAAAATCCTGATGCCGTTGCTCTCCATCTTCAAACCAATAACATTTCCATTCAACTCCATGCTGTCACCTTTCATTACAAGCCTGCAATTGCAGACAAAAACTTTAGAAAATGCATCAAATGGTCCTAGTGACATAATCACTCTTATTAGCAACATCAAAAATGCATTAACATACAAACATAAACAAAGACATGCAATATAGCAATGGCTGTACGGAATATGACATAATTTAAGACGGCATCAATAATATCAAGTAATTTTAAGGTGATATCCACTGAGATATCAGCATTTTATAGAGGAAAAATCCCCTGGCACGAGTGCCAAAACTTCTACAGAATTACCAAGTCACCAGTAAATTTATGAAAATAACATGAATCTTTGAAAGGAATGCAATCAAAAGCTTCATTTACGTTTTTTTTTTATTTTTTTTGCAACTAAATGTTCAACTAAGTAGGATTTCAAAAACTTGAAGGAATAATTCGTTCACAAAAAATGTTATTCAAAATTTTGGAAGTTTATGGTGTGGCAAGTTGCTACATGACTATATGATGAAAATAAATTAACAATAATGTTATCAAAAGATTCTAAACAAAAAAATCAATACTAAAAAAATTACTAAAAACCTGAATCACATGCTAGCCCATAATAACATTAAGCGAATGTTACGAGATAAGTTACAATTGAAAAAATAATCATAACAATAATGAATAAAATAAAAGAATTCTGAACCAATAGTGTCGTTTCGAACGAAACTACGAAGACGATTCAAACACAAGGAGAAGAAGAGAGCTTGAATTTCTTTACAAAACCCTGAGGGCAGCCGGGCAAGATGAGAGTAATAGAAAGGAACGAATCTGATGGGAGGTGAAACTAGTGAGTGATCCCATGATTCCCTTGATACCAAACTTAACCCAAACCACACAGAAAAACGAATATTATCATTCAAAGCAAAGAAGCAGTTACAAGATCACAACAACAAAAAAATACAACAGCAAACAAACAACACAACAAGCTCAACTAAAGCGGATCCCAAGAGTGGTGATAGTGGCGGTTAGGGGATTGGAAGTGTTGGTAGATAATTGAGATGGTTGGGTGTTGGTTGGAAGGTGGCGGTTGTAATAGGGAATAGATTTTTTGTGGTTGTTCTAGACGTGGAGGGAAGTGTGGGATGGTTGGAAAAGGATTTCAAAGGAATTAAATGGGATAACTATTCTCGTGGGATCGAGTTATAGTCGGAGCACCACTCGAACTCTTGGAGAAGATCACCACCACGGATGGGAAACTGTCGGAACACCACCGGTAGTTGGATACATTCCTAAGAAGGAAAAGAACCGTCGACGGTAAGCTAGACAAAAATCTGAAATAAGGAAGACCAAAAATTGAATCCTAAGACAGTAAACAACATATTTACAATTAGGAAGAAATTAGATTAGGAAGAAAATAAAATTAGGAAGGGAATAAAAAAAAATCTGCGATACTGTAGTTGCTAAAGCACCGCGGATAAAAAAGGCAAGAGATAAAAAAAGGATTCATGAGACTGTAGGTGCTACAGTACCACAACCCAAGCTCCCGCGTTAATCTCTCAGTGGTGGGAGAGCTTCAATTTCATTCGTCGAAGCTTGTTCCTTGTAGTAGAGTCAATTTTATAATGTTCATGGTAGCTGTGACATTTCAATCCTCTGGGAGATCGATCATATAAGTGTTTTCATTCCACAACACGTCCTAATAGAATAAATATGAATTATCTCTTGCCACATCATAAGCTGGAGATGCATATATATATGTAAGTTCCAGTAATATAACTCTTGAGCAATTAAGTCTAAAACTTTCATCCACTTCTCGTATTTGGCAGAATGTAGCTGAAAAACCAATATAAGAGGAGAATTCAACTATGGTGTGAAATCTGTGACAAGCTCACTAGCATCTACTTACGATAGAGCTCTTCTTCTTCAATGGTAAGACCTAGATCCCATTGAAGAATTTTTTTCCCCATCAAGCTCCTTAGAGAAATTTTCGGGTTGGGGTTCATCTCTCCTATCTGGACATCTAATGATGGGTAGCATTCTAAACTGAATCTAACATTAGAATAACTCCATGTAATCTTTCCGACGTGGCACAAAAGGGTCTCATCTCTGACATGCGAGCCTCCCTCAGTAGAGGCAACACAAGGATGAATCTATGAACCTGAAAAGCTTAAATTTCTCGTATATGCGATTGTCAGGTGTCTAATATCGACTCCCCAAACTCATGGCCACTTTGGACATCCAAAGCCAGTCCTGTTGATGCTCCCCTTAATGCCTGCAAAATGCTTGCTCGAGACACCATAATCTCGTACTCTGTCTGAACACCCATCACATTGGTCACTATCTTCTAAAACAGTTAATATTATGTTAGCTAAAATCTATATCCTGGGGTCAACCGAAATTGAGTATGTCTCTTCCTCGTTGGCTAAAAATTGAGAATTCTCTCTGAAGTATGCATCTTCTTATGGATCACTATTTATCTCTTCAACTAGAAGTTGGTCCTCTTACTTTGTGTCTTCACCGCCTTCAAAATCTACTGTTATTACCCAATTTTTCAAGAATGACTTGCTCCTTGAAACAGATCACCCCTTTGGTTGTGCATTTTGATTCAACATGTTCAAATCTGTGGCACTTACAACACTTCTTGTCTGGGATGGATTTAGGGATACAGATTGATTCTACCTATTATCCACTCTGACTCAGTTTTTCCTCTAACGGAGTTAGCTTAGATATTCTTTTGAGTGCAATATGACTGTAATACCCTAAGATTGAACAATGTTTGTAAGACGTGGTGGTCACCTGGTAATGTGATCTCTCCGCTTCTGAAGCTATAGTCTGATTTTTTGGCCATAGTAAGCTGGAAAGAACTGGAGTTGGTTCTCCCGCAACATCTTTGAATTCTCCCTTTCTCCATATGTTGGCTCCTCTCAGCCACTTGTGATACTAGATTTCAATGCATCGTGGTTTCTCTTCTGCATCACTAAAGTCCTCTCAACGAAAGGGATTCAAATCCTCGTTTCTTGCTCTTCATCGATTCTACAAATCCCGATCGAGGGTAATCTCCCCCCCCCCCTTATCTCATCTTGGGTAGTTTCAAACATGTATCTCCTTGGTTTCGTGTCTAGGGTTTAGGATTAGGAGGTGGAAGGCATAGGAGACTAATTGAAAGTGTAGGAAAATTAATCTGAGGTTGCTGGTTTTGAAAATCAGTAAGGAGAAATTAGGGTTTTGAAATAGAAAAGAAAATTATTGGTGAAAGTGACTGAGGTAGGACAGCTGCGAGGAAACCCTAGGAAAAGACTAAGTTTAGGCTAGCTCTGACATAAATGATACCGGAGTTAACTCAAACCACACGTAAAAACAAATATTATTATTAGCAAATAAGTGGTTACAAAATCACAACGAAAAGGAAAACAACAACAAACACACAACACTAACAAACTCAATTAAAGCAGGTCCCAAGAGTAATGATGGTGGTCATTATGGGTTTGGAAGTGTTCGTCAATGCTTGAGTTGGTTGGGTGGTGGTTTGAAAGTGATGGTTATAACAGGGAAGGAATTTTGGGTAGTTGTTTTGCGGGTGGCAACAAGTGTGGGATGGCTAAAAAGGGGTTTCAGAGGAGTTAGATAAATATCCACACAGGATTGAGCCACAGCTAGAGCACCACTAGAACCCTTCCAGAAGGTCAGATAAATATCCACACAGGATTGAGTCACAGCTAGAGCACCACTAGAACCCTTCCAGAAGGTCACCACCTCAGATAAGATTTAGTCGAAGCACCACTCATCGTCGGATACAGCTCTAGACAAAAATCTGAAATCAGGAAAACAAAAAACTGAACCTTAAGATAGCAAACAACATATTTATAATAAGTAATAGTAGTTAGAATAGGAATAAATTAAAATAGAAAGAAAATAGAATTAGGAAAAAATTAAAATAGCAAGAGATCAAAAAGAATCTGCGGTACTGTAGTCATTACAATACAGTTCTGTGACCCAAGCTCCCACATCATCTCTAGTTAAACTAAGAGACGAGGGCTTGCAATGTTGAGTGTCGAGTGCATATAGAGAAAACACATGTCGAGAGGGAGTGAACGCGAAAGAAGTCACATGTGATAGGAAGGAAATAGAATTAGGAAAAAATTAAAATAGCAAGAGATCAAAAAGAATCTGCGGTATTGCAGTCATTACAGTACAGTTCTGCGACCCAAGCTCCCGCATCATCTCTAGTTAAACTAAGAGACGAGGGCTTGCAATGTTGAGCGTCGAGTGCATACAGAGAAAACACGTGTCGAGAGGGAGTGAACGCGAAAGAAGTCACATGTGAAGCGGCCAGGAAGTGAGTCGAGCAGCACATGCATCTCATTCAGAAAGAAAGAAGAACACGAAAGGCTGAGGGTGCATACAGGAATCGACTTAACCTTAAATTGAGAAAAACAATTAAAGGTTAGGGTTTTATTATTTTTCAAAAAATATTTCAAAAAAAGTTATTACATATTAATATTTACTGAATAATATCCAAAATCAAAGGTTGAAGAGAATACGAATTGAAAGATTAAGAGAGAACGGGATTAGTGATTTTACAAACTTAGAGAATGTAAATTTAAAAAAAAAATTGTAGGATTGTAACCAAAAGTTCATTTAATAAAAGTAAATAGAGATTTAATATTTGGAAGTGGCTGTTGGATCGTACAGAAAAGAATAAGGAAAACTTGGGTGAAATTATTGAAGGAAAGCCTTGGAGTCATGGAAAAAAATAGTGGAAAATTTTACTGATGGAGGTATAAATTTTATATTACAGAGCTTGTTAACAATCATGTATAATTACATTCTTAAAAATATGTTTTAAAGGAAAATAAGAATTGTAAAAATAAATATAAATGTAAATTATTAAATTATTGTATTATGGATAATTTTATGTTTAATTGTAGATTAAATTGAGATCAAATGGAAAATTCAAGTTAAAGGAGGAGAAAGTTAATAAATTCAATTATAAGGTGAGGTGAGTAATTATTATTGTACCTGCACTAAATTTCGGTTTTTGACTTTAAAAGTATTCATCTTTTTATGGATTAAAATCATAATAACATATACAAATTAGATGAACATATAATGTTTAAAAAAAAATATTCTCTATATTGCATATAAGTTGAAAGCTTAATAAAGCTTTATTGATTGAATGAAAATAAATGAAGCTTAAATGAAATAAAAGAATATGTCAATCAAAGAAGATACCCCTTATAGTACTTGTTGGAGACGCTGCTATACTCGTGCAAAAATATGAAAAAGGAAAAAAACTTTAGAAAAGGAAAAGGAATTGGATGTATCTTGATTGGTACATATATTTAGACGGTGCTTCAAAAAATACTTCTTAAATTAAATTTAATTAAAAATGTTAAAAATATCTAATTAGAAGAACTACAAATAATTAACAGATTTAAACAATGGAAATTTTAATGTTTTATTATTTTTATATAAAATTCATGTTAAAACATACATATAAAAATTTTAGTACAAAGAAGAACAAAAACTATTTACTAAATTTTTGTTCAACTTAACTAGTTGTTTAAAAATTTATTTCAAGAAAGACTTTTAAATTAAATAGCTCTTTATAGTAAAACATGAACTAATAAAATTTAGTATCAAACAATATTGTTTCAAAATTAATTTGTTTTCCTTAAGAGTATTGTTACAGATTAGATATCCTTATGTGTTTGAAAGATGTATATCAACTCCTATGATTTCGTGGCACCTAATTGTTTAGATGATTATTGCTTGTGGATAATTGTGAATGTTAGACCGATATAACACTGCTATCCAACTGTCTGTTCCAAAGTGAGTAATCCTAAGCTCCAAGATTAGATCGTAACAGTATAATCATTATGTAAACACATAAGTGGCTATGAAGAATAACAAAGAATACTACAAAATCGATTATTGAAATATCAAAAAAAGAGCATAAATCAGGTACCGTTACATGATGCATAAAAAACAAATAAATGAACATAAACATTTCGAAAAAATAAAACCAAATAAATAAGTAAATCCATGATCTAAATGATAATGAAACCAGCACCTGCAAAATGCATCAAGATTGGCATGTATAGCCTTTCTAGCTGATGCAAAGGATCTCCCAAGTTCCTCAGAAGAATTGTAGAACGTGAGTTCAGGACCAATAGCCTGGAAAATGCAAGTACTTACCCATGTCAGTGTTGTGGAATCTAAGGGTGCTAACAGAAGCAACAAGGAAGATATTTGTGTATCAAACATCAAAGAATAAACAATACATGGACTTTAAAACTAGCAAACGTGCAGCCACAAAAGAAACTTCAAGCAGTTTGAGATCTGAGAGTTACCTTTCACAGAGCACCAGTTGAATTTTCAGCACATAAATATTTAAGGGAATATACATACACATACAAAAATTGCAACTTAAGACATTTTCACGATCATATTATGTCAGTTTTACCTATCAGCCCACAAGAAAATGTTGAAAGCACAAAACTTGAAGAAGCAAAAAAAAAAAAAAAAGAAAAAAAAAACAAATGAAAAAACTGCATTTTGCCAATTTCAAAAATAATTTCACCAACACGTCACAAGATAGATAATTCTCAAAAGTTGATTATGTATGAAAATAACGGATCCCTAACACGTGAATAGCAGAAGGCACACTCCATAGTGTTTAAAAAATAGAAAAGAATAAATAAACCGAAGAGGTAAAAACTTAAGGAAAACAAGAATTATGTAAAGGGAGATGTAAACTAAGCAAGCAATGGTAAATTAGAAAAGAATGTTTGAAATACTAATCCAGCAAAGAAAGTTGCTACAAAGTTTCTCGATAAGCTAGATAATTATGCCGCTCTTGATGCATAAGAGTTAGCAACCAATAATTTTTACAAATTCTATTTTATTGGAGAATGATAAATTAGCTTATTTTATTAAAATCTTTCAAATTGAAATTCTAGACCTTCACCATAAAAAACACCATGAAAAGGAGTAGAAAGAAAATTTTCATAATATTTCATTATATTTTGAATCATTTTCCAAACAAGCAAATCCAGCAAAAAAATAAAAATATGGAGCACATAGCGTGGTATGCTAGGTTCACAATCTTGACTCAATATCAAGCCAAAGTCTAGCATCAGTATGCTAGAAAGTAAGTGCACTAGTATGAACTGGCATGTAGCATACCCAATTGCTGTGGAAGTCTATCTAATCTAGGTTAAGCAGAAAGAGATATGGATTCACATAAGGATGGGCCCAACACAATGAGATCCACCCCTCACTAAATACATGTCTACAAGTCAATAATAACACGAGCTACAAATCCCACAACCTAGTCGAATGTACAAAATGGTTTATTACAATGGTATAACCCATGAAATTCTCGATAAATACATAAATACTAAAGGACTTTAAAAAACCAAATGTAAATTTTCGAAAAAAAAAATGCTTGTAGAAATACAACAACAACAACAAGCCTTTATCCCACTAAGTGGGGTTGGCTACATGAATTATTTTTCACATAATTATAATAGATTAAGAACATTTTTATAAAAATAGGCCCAAGTTTTTTTAGGTCTAGCTCTTCCTTTTTTAACATAAGTTGAATCTAAAACATTTACTTTCCTAATTGGATCATCAGATGCCCGAACTCTAAGACGACACTTCTTAATCTTGTCTGTTACAGGAGCTACACCATAATCTCTAAGTGTCAAGCCACTGATCCACCTAAGCATTCTCATCTCAGCAACACTTAACAATGTTTTATGGTTCTTTTTAAAGGCCAATATTCTACGCCATAAAACATTGCAAGTCTCACCACCATCTTATAAAATTTTCTTTTTTAAGTCTAAGAAGTACTTTTGTATCACACAATAAGCATGTTGCATTCCTCCATTCAACCAACCAACCTGAATTCTACTAATAACATCCCATCTATATCACCATCACTCTAAACAATACTAAACAATAAACCCCTCTAAACAATAAACCCGAGATATCTAAAACGTTCACCTTTTAAATATTTGATCAGCCATAGTTACAATTATGCTTCTAGAGCTACTACTATTAAACTTACATTCCGTGCATTCCGTTTTAGATCTACTCAAACGAAGGTCATTAGACTCCAATGTAGACCTCTATAATTCAAGTATAATTCAAGTTTTCTATAATTCAAGTTTTTCTGAACTCTTTCTCTATTCTTAACCACAAAAATGAAACAATCTATGAAAAGCATATACCAAAGTACATACTCCAGTAAATGTCCAGTAAGAGCATCCATAACTAAAGCAAAAAGATATGGGCTTAAAGTCCATCCCTGAAGTAAGCCGACTAAAATAGAAGAATACTTGGTCAATCCTCTTTCTATCCAAACACAAGTAATAACTCTAGTATACATATCTTTAATAACTTAAATATAAGTCAAACCAACAACTTTCTTTTCTTAAACTCTCCAAAGAACTTCTCTTGCAACCTTATGGTGAGATTTTTCTAAATCAATAAAAATCGTAAGCATAACCTCCTTACTCTCTCTATACTTCTCGAACGAACCTCTCAATAAATGTATAGCTTTCATAGTAGACTTGACCGGCATAAATACAAACTGATTATGAGAAGTCTTTGTATCGCGTCTTAGCCTATGTTCAATTACCCTCTCCCATAAATTTAAAATATATCACATTAACTTAATTCCTCTATAATTTGCACACTCTTGTGCATCCCCTTTATTCTTAAAAGTAGGGAACAAAATGCTCTCCCTCCACTTCTCGGGCATCTTTTTACATCTTAAAATAATATTGAAGAGTTTAGTAAGCCAAGAAATTCCAAATCTCCAAGATATTTCCACATTTCAATTGGGCTATCATCTGGTCCTACAAATTTTCCACCATTGGTTTTCTTTAAAGCCTTCTCAAGTTAAAATAAAAAACATATGGAATGTAAAAATCATAAATAAAAAATCAAATTGTGCAATATAATTTTACTTAAGTTGCTTCAAACATTCAAAAACCATTTTGAGACAAATACTGAATTATGCGAGACTGGATCTACAGACATGGAATCGCATTTGGGACATACGCAATTAATGATGTGTGAACTGAGCATGCGGCACGGACACAAGATCCCATCTAATGCTGAAACCGGCCCAATATAGAACCGATTTGGGCTGATTCATCCCTAGGGTGGGCCGGCGAGCTTTAAAGACTTTCATTTTACTTATTTAGGGTTATTTTGGTTTGGTGAACTATTTATGTATTTATTTTAGGACAATGATGGGTTTGAGAAGAAGATAGACCAACGAAGAAAGAGATTCCTCTTGTAAGTCGAAATGATCGACTGGTGTAAATTCCTCGAGTAGTTAAAATTTGTCGAACCACGTAAATCTGTGTGCTCCGCTGTGTTACAGTTTTCTAGTGTGAATTTTCTCATTCTATTTTTTGCTTCGTCGATCGTTCTCCAGTTTGATTTATATATATACCACAACAATTGGTATATTATCTCTCAACACAAACCATGAGAGCTTATAAACATTACAACAGTAAATGTTCTCTTTTCCTTAGGTTTATTCATGCATTGGCATCATACATCAATTTCATAGCTAAAACAACACGGAAATTGGATGTTATTCAGGCCAAAAGAAAACTAAAACCACATAAAAAATAAAAAAACGATGTAACTGCTTAACACATCAAAAATATATTACAGACTTCATTCCTAAAGAGCAGATGGATACTATCTTTGGATTTTAACATATATGCCAAACTAAAAGCCGCAAGAACTAAAAGATGATGAAATCTTAATGCAAAAGGACAAGTTAGAAAGCCCTGTTTTTCACCTTTACTTCAATAACAAACTCAGTTGGATCAACAGCAGGGGCCATGATATCCTCCCTCCTATCCTCTTGAGTATCCAAGGGTTGAATTTCTTCTTGTGTCTCCAAGAAAACGTTATCATATTCAGAAGCAGAATAACTGCTATTTGACCCAAGGAAAACACACGAATCCAAATAATGTCCATTCTGCGGCACAATGCACTCCATTTAATCATTCTTCATGATTCACTATCAGGTAAAAAGAATATGAGATTAAAAAAGGGTTATAATTGGAATGTACCACGATGGTGACATTTTTAAATTGCAATTTTTTTCTGCTCCCCACATGAATGATAATTCCAGTAGAACTATCGGAGACATTGCTTCCATCCCAATTCTGTAGAAACAGTTTTCCACCTTTCCCGTCATATATGAAATGTTCAAATTTTTCATCATCAACAATTAGGGGCTTCTGTGGTGATAGTGAGAATACTGAGCTGGGCTGTACATAAACTTGTTGATCAAGGATAATAGCATTAATTAAAGATAGAGCGGTACTTTCCTCTTCATCTGATAATATGCTTCGGAGTGATGGAACGAAGAACTCTGCAATAGCCAACAAAAAATCAAGGGCTACAAGCAACTTTGGCCTCTGCACATACAAAGAAATATTTGTCGAGGAATTCTTAAATGTAGCATCAAGAATTAGCATTGACGGAATGGGTTGTAGATCAAGATCAATGCTCTTGCTTTTCTCTGCAGACCAAGTAGGTTTTGGAATATCACCACTATCAACATTAAACAAGGTACACCCAGTGCTCCAAGATTTTCCTATTGCAAGCCGGAATTCATCTTTAATTCCCTCTCGAGCATCAATGACAGAGAAACCCTTCAGTGTGGCAAATAAAAATCCCTCACTAGATGAGTTAGACTTGTAAAGAAGCCAAGCTCCTCGGGCCTGCCAAAAACAAATGCCATCAAGCTTCAGAAGTCATTATCCACAAAGACTTGATGGGAGCTGTTAACAAGTTAATAAGAATACATTGCCAATTAATGCAACATTAAAAAGTAAGAGCCACCATCAAGCAAAAGGATGAATTAAAACATTAAGTAAAAAGTCAAACCTCGAAGATGGCAAATTATAGATTGCAAGACACAACATTCACAAAGAGAAATAATTGTATTACAAATTGAAATCTAATAATTTAATACCTGCACACTAGCTAAGGGTGAGTCTCTCATGATTCCTGAATGGAGAGAGAGCTCGACAAAATCAACAGAAACAGAGACTTTCATTGTTATCCATCTTTCGCTCTCTAAGGGCTCAGAGGCCATTGTAGTGGGGGCAACTGAAACATGATTTTCTATTTTTCTCTCAGAAGTTTCATCCGCCTTAATCAAGGTAGGAACCAGAGATGGAGTTTCGGAGATATTAGAAGTAGCGCATTCTGTAATTATTTCATATTCTTTATTGGACAAAGCTGCTTTTAAAACCCTTATCTGTATGCAAAAAAATTTAAAAAAAAAATTAATGCATTACCCACCAAACTATCTGATAATACCAAAATGTTGACAAGTGATTACGGTATAATTCAGACACGCTATCAAGAAACAGTTACAGCAATTTTATTACCTGAATAGTTGCTTCTGTTTCTGGAATTTGATGCAACAAATCACGTAGTGACCGTTTAATTACAACAGAGAGCCCACTAACATCTTGTATGATACTGTCACCAAACGTTTTACCAGTGCCAACCATCAAATTAATATCTTCAACCTGAATTAATATTTAGAAATGTATCAGAAAAAAATTCACAATCATGAAAAGAACTTCTATCATATTACTTGCATATTACCATTTTACAAAATAACCAAGACAACAAAACCCGCTAGAAGATGGATTTATACTTCCATATTAATGTTGAAATATCAGATGTATTGCAGTCCAAAAATTATAGCATAATAGAATTCCAGCTTACCTCTAGAGAATTAAAATATTACACATTTAAAAGTGAAAAAACAAAAAAGCAAAATAACAACAACAACTATAAGGCAAAAGAAAAAGAAAAATAGAAACCTATGAAATAGGAAAATAAGGATGTAAACATGCTTGTGAGAAAGTACTCCTAAAATTCGAAAATGCAAGATAAACTAGGGGGGTGGCTTTCATTGTGATTTTTTTTGCTAAGAAGTAGGGCTTTTCTCATCTCCTCCTGCCGGAGTGAGTTACGGTCAAGTTAAAAGAGGCTGGGTTAGCGGTGTTGGCAAATGCAGGAAGGAATGACAAATGTTAAGGCCAAGAATAGGCAGTGATGTGATGTCAGATGAGTTTTTAGATGCTTCACTAAGCTCCTTCTGAAACTTATCATTCAAGTATCAAAGGGTTCAAAAGTTATGTTTGAGGCATTTACATACAATACCACACAATTCCAATGTAATTACAAATCTAAAACCTACGCTTTGATTTGTTTAGATTTATTACCCTCAAATGCAGGAAGGAATGACAAATGTTGAGGCCAAGAATAGGCAGTGAGGTGATGTCAGATGAGTTTTTAGATGCTTCACTAAGCTACTCTGAAACTTATCATTCAAGTATCAAAGGGTTCAAAAGTTATGTTTGAGGCATTTACATACAATACCACACAATTCCAATGTAATTACAAATCTAACACCTATGCTTTGATTTGTTTACATTTATTACACTCAAATACATCATATCTAAAATATCACTATTACTAACTTTTAAAAAGTAAAATACATCTATTGATGCAGAGGTAAAGTGCTATAAGTGTAAAAAATAATTTTCAAATGTTAGATATAAGAATTGTGTTGTATGTATGTAAATCATCCTAAATGTTTGCATCTTTCCACCAAACAGATCAGCTCCTGTTTTCTACATACTGTCCAGCCTGTTTACTATCATGCCAAGCAAGAGGTAAAAGCATGTTCTTTATATCTATTGAGATTCTACAAAATCCAACCAACAATTAATTTTAAGAACATCAAACAACAATAAACTATTGTATCTCACTATAAAATAATCTCTGAATAAGACAAAAGCCAAACATATCAAACATTTGGGTGAATATAATCGCAAACACGCGCACCGGCATAAATAAGGCCTTTAACCCAGAATATTTTGGTTAAAAGCCTAAACTCTCAGCCAATAAATTAAGATAGTTTGCATAACTCTATCAAAAAATAGGTAACAGGAATCTTTAATCCTCCTATAAATATGAATAGCAAAAGACCTTGTAAAGGATTTGAAATTTGTTGAGATTTGACTCAAAAGAGGCCTCTTCCCTCTCCTCTCCTATGCCACTTAGTTCAACTTTTATTCCAATGAGACGTAGTGGGACTTCCCTATGTTATGTATTTCCATTTAATTCATTTACGGCCTTCTTCTTCACATTACTAAAACTTAAAAATGTTGAATTTAGTAATAAGAGTCACCTAAATAGTTACTTTTGTCAGAAGCTTACCTTAATAGTCATAATATCTATATGTACAGCACTTGTATCATTCTTATCACCACCAAGCCATTGAAATGTATTTCGGACTGTAATGTGTAGTGCATCCAATTTTAAGTACCTGCGGTTAGAATTAATCCAACACCAAAAAACTATTATTTAGTGAAATAGATTTTCATTAGGAAAAAAAAGCATATCAACTGACACATAACGTACTCAGCACTGTCTGTTCTCTTAGGCATCAAGATAATAGGCCTACTTAGCGATAGATCCAACTTTAGGGCAGGTGATCCTGCAATTTGTTTTGTTGGGACCTTCTTCTCTGAATTAGTCGCATGATCTTCCAGCTTTACAAAACTTTCAGTGTCACTAGGCATGAGGCCCATGAAGTAACTTAAAATCTGCATAAAATGACACTTTTAGCACCAGGTTGCCCAAGGAAATCAAGCATAAATCTCGCATATATGAAGCTTACCTCCCGCACAAAGCGATACAAGAATACTATCCGAACTTCTGAAAGCTGCCCAGTAAGGCTATAGTCATAGCCATCATAGTCCTCGTCCTGTTCACTATAAGAACAGAAATCGAGCTGCAACCACATAGATGTCAATTATTAGAATCGGTTGTCAAACAGAAAAATATCAACCAAATAAAAGTATAAAAACAGATGCAAGAAATATCTACAGAACATATGCGGTTTCAATATGGAAAGCAAATATTTTTTAGTAACTGGTTATCCGTACCGAATTTCACTATTTTGATCAGGGGTGTTAACCCACCAAATTTTTAAAAATATGGGACTAGGTATAAACATGCTAAGTTAGGCAAGTGAGGAGCTTGCTTGTGTTGGGCTAATTGGCTTATCTGAAATTATCTTTGTTCAAATTTTATATGACAAACTCATTGCAATCTAAAACAGCTCATTCTGCTCGAATTGATAAATAATCTTGAATCCTAAAGTTTTTTTATTAAAATAAATGAAGCATTCACGGTAAACAATGAACTCTTCTTATGTTGAGATTTATATGAATATTAGGCCTCCTGAAATCCTATTGGCAAATTTTCTAAGATTCGTCCTAGTAAGAAGGTATTTCACAAAATTTTATCCAATTGATAGTAATTAGGTGACTTTCTATTGGGCTTATTGGCCCTAAATATGTCATCACCAGGCTTTCCTTAGAATCACACTAATCAATTTACTTTCATGGCATTCAAATAACAAAATGAGTACCGGATGCACAAGTTAAGATGATCTCTCCAATGATCCATATAGCTATATGTCATGCTAGTTTGGATTTTAATGTCACGACTTCATCTATACTATTTCAACAAATAAGCATCATTCTCCTTGAATTCAGCTTTTGAATAACCACCATAAAAGGATGTTACAATAGTCAGTGGTGCAAGACAATTTGGTGCTAGACTCTTGCATAGCATTGGACGTTATTATCCTCTTTTAAGGGGATTGGATATTCATCATCCACGTGTTTGCATAAATGTCGCTCATTATATCATATTTTCTGACGAACAATATTTCTAATTGTATCAAGGCTCATCCTGAGCTAAAAAATTCTCAATTTCAGCCGCAGAACCTTCCCTTTCATGACTCTTTGGTCACACCATTTTTAGGCGCATTCTCAAAACTTGTTACCACTTTAGTTTCTCTTAATGAGAAGATGGGTAAAGTTCCTGCACCAACAAGCACCAACAAGCACCAAGATATTTATCACATCATCAACGGCTGAAATTACCACCAAAAATTCATTGTAAATTATTAAGAAACCTCATCCTAAGTAGGGACAAAAACAACGATATTTGTCACAACATGTGTCTGATACTAATCAGAGCAGTTAAAGTGTCGACGATCTGGTAAACAAAAAAATTCATACTATTTCAAACTGCAAGCTAGAAGATCAAAAAAAAATCAATGCATCTTTTTTCTATCTATTGTATTTTTCCTTTAGCTTTGATATTTCTTTCAAAATATCCCTAACGTACAAGTATCAATTTCTTTTATATATATATATATATACACACACACACACCATTCTCTTTGTCGTCCCCCGCGACGACATTTTCACGTACGCGCAGCTCTCAATCTCTCCAATCGCAATAAAACGGAAGAGTCATGTCCTTGATAAATGTCATAAATTTCATCCAAATTTCAAATCTAAGGTTCAAGTGCATAAGGATGGGTCTAACCCCACTGCTCTGGACATTTTAGTTCCACATATGGAAGATACTACCAGACAGAAGGTGTTTGTTGCCCCTGAGGAGCCCCCCCATGACACTGATGTTACTTTTACTGCGAGTGACGTGATGCTGGCACGTTAAAACCCTATAGAAAACAATATTGATTGGCTATTACCTACAAATGACACAATCAGGAGAACCATGTAGCTCCACTTCTTCAGGAAGTATCTGATGTAGAGACAACTCATACTTCACATATAGTAGAACCTATTGTGGGTACTACGGTTGGTATTCCTTCTGCTTCAACTCCCCCATCAGACTGATTCTTCGGATGAGGAATGGCAGGTCTATTCCAGGAGGAAGAAGAAGAATGGAGACCGACTCAAGCTCGGGAACATATTGGATGATACATTGGTTACTACTGGCAATGGCGATCATCTTACCAGCTTATTAGCTAGCTGCTTCCCTAGAACTAGAGGCAGAGGGAAGACCAAATTGGGTCGCTCTCTAGTCACTTGATACTATGTATTTCGACATTGTTAGCCTTTTAATTAAGAATCTAATATATTTTTTTTTTGTTTTTTCTAGTTTTGGAACCATTTGTGGTTTTTGAGTGGGCAGGGTGTAATGTTTGGGCCCTCCCACACATTATATCTGTATCTTTCTTTCTATTTATATATATTAATTGGGCTGAGTTAGATGGCATCGGCAGTGGCAAGCTCTGTTAGGATTTCGCCCGATAGCAATTTTCGGCGGTGAATCTATCGACTTCTCCCATTCTCTTTGTCGTCTCCCGCGACGACATTTTCACGTACGCGCAGCTCTCAATCTCTCCAGTCGCAATCAAAGTTGATTGCTCGTCTCTCCCATTGACGACGGCGTTATATCTCGCAGTCGTCTCCCATAGTCGACGACACTTCTCCTTCGCATTCGTCTCCTCGCTCGCTCCAGACGACGCGACTGGTGCTCCTGCCTAACAAATAGTGCTCGAAGTCTGCTCGCTTCTCTTGAGGCTCCCCACACGGC